CAAACAAGGAATCACCATTTTGGGGCAGCTTTTGGTGAATATGTGACTTAACAGAAAAGTCAGAAAAAGTTGAAAGTACACTTTTGTATAATTTCATATTCGAAAAATGACTAAAAAATAATGGATCAATAGTCTATATTACTTGATATAATGGAGTAAATTTGCTGATTAAAAAATGGCTTGGTGTACTAAAAAAAGTTCTGAACTGAGAGACAGGTTACTTTATTTATAACTTTCAGCAAATTTTCTCTCATTTGCTTGACCTTGATTTTTTGTAATCGTGTAGCAATGGAAATCTTATCTATTTTGATTCCATTTTATCCACAGTCTTTGTATACTAGTTAAAGATAGCAGATCCTCGAAAGATACTTGTTGAAGGAAAAAAATAGTGATTGATTCAACAGACTGCTTTTTTTGTCATTTCTGAAATGAAACAGAAAGAAATCAGAATTGTAAAATCCTGCCAAGTTCCTAGAATTTATGTTTCCATTCATTATGGGGTTAAACCTAGCACATCTTTCAAATGGAAAGGGGACTTTCTGGGTAGTAGATGCTTCTCCAGAATTAACACCATTAGTATGACAGGAGAATGACTTCAAGTGATTCTTGGAAAAGATTGAATAGTTCAATGAATATTTAATCCATAGTTTTTCTTGCCTTTCAATGGGAAATCACTGAGCACTGAACTCTATCCCATTCTTTTTATTGTTCTATATTCAGTGTTTTTGAATAATGTATTTGATACCTACCAGCTTGGAGAGCCACTTTTATGGAGACATTTTAGTATATGATAAAAATGTAATGTTTTCATATAAGATTAAGTTGTCCCAGTATTTTATTCAGCAAAAGAGGAAGTGGGAGCCTCTATTCTTGAGAGAAATCCTGACAGGAAATTCAGGAAACCTCTCCCAAAAACTTTGCATATTTAGTTATTTTCTCATTTAGATCATATGCAAAATATTCCATATGCTTTTGGCTTACTTCTTATGCCCTTTCTATCTCTTTGGGCATTATCCCAAAAGTTTCTCATTCCAATATTGGTGCAACTGTGGATAACATTTATAATCCTTAGTGTATTTTCCTCAAGGCCCTTGTTGGTACATTTGATTCACTGGAGTATTTGCTGTGAGACATGGGCATGTATGGTAAATAAAACATATGCTTTATGCAGGGGAAAATCTATATAGAATCTTTGTCCAGAAAGGCCCAAAGTAACTCCAAATCTAACTTCTCTTCACTATTTTGGCTCCCATAGCTGCAAAGGAAAATGTGTAAAAGAATATTAGCTACAGAAATAAAGTAACTGCAATGTATTGGGAAAGACTGATTTTAAAAATACTGAATCTCTTCACCTAAAACTGAAATAGTTGTCAATTTGCTTTTTTTTATCATCTCAACCAGCTGATGCAGTCATTTGTGTGACAAATAGAGGTAAGATTGTAAAGTTGAAGCCAATGAAAAATCTTAGCACTCATTAATGCTTAACTCAACTTTTCATCGGAATACATAGAATAATCTGGGTTTGTTATGTTATCTGTATTTATCAAGGATTATGAAAAATGAGCATGTTACATTTCCTGTTTGTCATAATAATTTATTCCTCTATTAATTTTCAGAAAATTATTGTCTCTGAATTTGATCTTCCTCATTGAATACAGGTTTAATAAGTAGTACATGCTCTGGTTTCAGGCAGAAAGAGTTAGGAATTCCAATTCTACTATGAACTAACTTATGATGTCTGATCTAGTTTATGATAATATCTTTCATTGTCAGTTTCTTCATATTAACATAGATAACTCATACCGAGTAAATGAGATAAGTGCGTACAGTCTTTCTTTGTCTCTTAAGTGAGTACCCTCAAAAATGGTTTTTGGTGCTTAAAGTGGGGCTGTATTCCTCAAACGTGTTCATTGATTTTATTTGGGGGAAAATAAAGATAATAAAAACCACTGTCTGGCAGTACATTTTATACAAATTTTGTATAATTTAATTTTACTTTTTTTTTAATTAACACTCATGATTATTCCATGAAATATTATTCCCATTTTTTAAATGAAAGAAAAGCTAAAATTCAGAGACATTAAGTAACTTGTCCAAAGTCACAATACTATAATGTGACTGAGTTCATTTTTAATCCATTTCTCTTTGAAAGCAAAGCCCACAAGTTGCCCCAATATCATTCATTATAAATAAATATTAAGTCCTGATGTCATATGTTTTTTAAGAATTCCTTTCCTTTTTAAGTTAAAAATTATCCTCAAATATAGATACCTAGTTTACAAACTGAGATAATCAGGATATAAGTAGAATATTTCTATGAAAACCTACAGATTTTGAGAGTAATTTACATGATTACTGCTTTTCCTTCATTATTCCTATTCTTACTGGTTGGTGCTTTGATCTGACTTGGAATTCAAACTCCCCCTTTTTATTAGGAAAAAAACAAGGTAATTTTTTTTTCCAGGGACTCAGGGAAACAAGATTCTGAACCAATTTTAGAAACACTCTGAGGCATTACTAAAGTAATAATCTGAAAAAAAAACCTAAATTGGTTCTTCATGAGATTTTTTTGTATTCAGTCACCATGAAGTTCTTGCATGACATTAGTTGTCAACAAACATAGCCAGGAATGGAGTGAATCATTCCAGAAAAAAAATTAGTGGCTCTTACAAAACCGAACTGTTACTCAAAATATCACATTAAACCAATATTCTGTTCTCTTCTTTGACAAATTAGCCTAACATATAAACCTAGAAACCAAGAAAAAGAGTGTCAAGTGAGAGAGAAAGATAGAGAATTGGAAAACTGTGTACTAATTTATGGGTGCAAATTTCCTCAAATATATGTGTTCTTTAAGGAATTTTAACTTAAGAAGAGAGAATTTAGCACACAGAATTAAAGAATTCTCTCTCTTTAAATTAAGAAGAGAGAATGCAGAATGATAATGTTAGTTTCCAATTATATTGTTGAACCATGGGGCTTTTTACTACTTCTTCTAATTATTACAAAAATAAGGAAAACAATCTCTTCATCTTTAGTAGGCCTCTAAAAATTGTTGTTTCTTTAAATTAGACAATCTGGGGAATGATATTGTTCTTTTTTCAAAATTCATATGGAATGGCAGAAGTGTCCTAAAAATCATTTCCAGTTATTTTATTTAACACAATAGTAAGTACCTCTTTATAGAATATGTTAATTTTTACTTTCAATGAATGACACATGTGATTCAACAATTAGATATCCATGACAGAGTAGAATTCATTGAAAAGAAAGGGACAAATGGGACTACAAAGCTTGTGAACATAAGTTACGTGTGACTAGGTAAAAGAAAAGTGGATAGGTAGTTAGGAAGGAAAGCTTGAAATGATGTTTTAGAGTCTTGGATATATTTTTCATCACTCTACCAAAAACATCACAGAAATAATTTACAGATCAAAGAGGGTACACACAGTGTTAATTATAGAGGATTGTTCATTGAGAACAATGACTTTTATGATTGAAATATCCATCATACACTTGAATTGCCATAAGTTTGTTTACAAACTATGTCATTATGATGTCTGTTTCTCTTGTAAGTGCTCTTCAGCCTGTTTCCTCCAGTCCCTGAGAAATAGCAAAAGAAATGTTCATTTCTTGTGACTCTCACATGCTTTCCCAGTAGGCACTATCCATCTCAGCTGGAATTTGCCTTAAATAATCAACAGCAATATTTTTTGCTAAACAGTGAAGTGAAAAGAGAACTCAGGCAAGTAAGGGGGAAAAAGAGCAAGAAATTTCACAGTATTATGATGCATTATATACCAATAATCAACAATTCTACATCTTGAAACTAAATATCCTATTGCAAAACTTCTCTCATGATACTAAATTGAACACTTTACTATTTAATGAGAATGCACAGAATGAGGGATATGATAATGGACTGGTTTGATTTATTGAGGAAAATTCAGCTTCACTTTAAAATACATTATATTATTATTGTTATTATTATTCAGGAAAAAATATAAAGGGATTTCATGTACTGTTTCATCATATACTCCAAGGTGTTGACAAAATAAAGCTTCTATAACTGAATGCTCATGTAGATAAAAGGAAAAATATAAAACTATAATATGGGATTGAAAGCAGAATTCATATATAAAGAGTAATACTAACAACATTTAGATAGAAGAAACTCTGAAGGAAAAAATGTTCGGTAAAATAATTTTAGATATAAATACATTGGTTTCCTTAGCCCATGAATATGTAGATGCAGTCTACTAAATTTCTACCCTGCCTTCTCTCAACTCTGTACTCTTTAAAGTCTGAGGACATTGTGTCGAAGAATTCATTAACTGTGGCTTCAGGTGAGGCATAGGAGGTTGGAAAAGAAGAGTGTGAACCAGAGAGAAAACTTGGGAATTTTATCATAATGTTGAAAATTGAATTTCAGTGACTCAAATTTTGGTCACATCCCCATTTGAGTGACCTTTCTCCAAACACATCGTCTTTTCTATGTTATACTACTAAGTAATAATACAGGGAATTATGTGACAGAAATGAGGAAATGAGACCATTTCTAGTTGGAAGAAGGACAAAGATTTTCCCAATGGGAAGGGAACCCTTCAGGGAATTACTCTTAAGAGTCAACAGGCAGCATTTCTATTCCAGTTATCAAACATTCAGAAAAACCTAGGTTAAAATTCCTGTTCTTCTCATTGAGGGTACGTAATGTGGATAAGATTTTTAAAAATATTTTTAGATTCAGTTCCCAAAATGAGAAATAAGGATTTTATGAAGAAACATTCTATGTAAAACACAGAGTGTAGCACATGGTAAAAACTTACTTTAAACATGTTACCTACTTTTATTAAGTTGTCTTAAAGATCTCACAAATTAATTATATTAAATTAAATTAAATTAGTTTACTTCCAGAGATAAATTCCAGCACTACCCATATGTAATCCCCTTTCTCTAATCCTTCCATTTGTGTTTTCTCCTCTAGTTTACACAAGAGAAAAAAAAATGAGAAACTACACAGAAATAACAGAGTTTATCCTCCTGGGATTATCAGATGACCCACAGCTTCAGGGGGTGATCTTTGTTTTTCTGCTCATCACCTACATGCTCAGCATCACTGGGAATCTGACCATTATCACCCTTACCCTGCTGGATTCCCACCTCCAGACTCCCATGTATTTCTTCCTCAGAAACTTCTCCTTGCTAGAGGTTTCATTCACGACTGTCAGCATACCCAAGTTCCTGGGCACCTTGATTACAGGAGATAAAATCATTTCCTTTAATGACTGCATGGCTCAGTTCTTTTTTTTCATCCTCTTGGGAGTCACTGAATTTTGCCTTCTCGCCACCATGTCCTATGACCGTTACATTGCCATCTGCAAACCTCTGCATTACATGACCATCATGAATCCCAGAGTCTGCATACTCCTTGTCCTTGCTTCTTGGTTGGCTTCATTCTTAATCATATTCCCATTACTCATGCTGTTCATACAGCTTGATTACTGTAAGTCCAATGTTATAGACCATTTCACCTGTGATTATTTTCCCCTGCTGCAACTTTCTTGCTCAGACACAAAATTCCTAGAGATAGTGGGCTTTTCCTGTGCTGTGTTTACTTTAATGTTCACTTTGGCATTAATAATCCTGTCCTACATATATATCATCAGAACAATTTTGAGGATTCCTTCTGCTAGTCGGAGGACAAAGGCCTTTTCCACCTGTTCATCCCACATGATTGTCATCTCCATCTCCTATGGCAGCTGCATTTTCATGTACATTAATCCAGCAGCAAAAGACAGAGTGTCTCTGAGCAAGGGAGTTGCTGTGCTAAACACCTCAGTAGCCCCCATGCTGAACCCCTTTATTTACAGCCTAAGGAACCAGCAAGTCAAGCGAGCCTTCATGGACAGGGCAAGGAAGATTGTATTTTTCTCAAACAAATGAAAAAATAAAAGTGTTGTCATAAATTAGAGGCATAATGAAGAACAAGTAAACAAAAACCAGGGCCCCTCGAAAGTCTATGAATATCCACATAGTCTCACTAGAGTTTTATTTCATTGCTTATATTTCTATTGCCAGCAGTATACTGAGGATATTTGAATATATATATATTTTTTCCATTTAAATTCCAATCCCTTTCTCATGCATTTCCCTTCCTTTAGCTAGTCTTTCCACTCTGTAACTATGAGACTGACCTCATTTCCTTCTTTTAAATATTTTTAAATTCCAATTTTTCCACAATGATTCTTATAAAATTAAGAGACAGAAAAAGACAGAACAAAAGCATAAGAGAGAAACTGTTTTCTGACTTCATCAGGAAACACACTTTCTAGAAATTCAGAAAATATTAAGTCATGTTTAACATTTTTAATTTACTATACAAAGACCATAAATATAGTCATGGCTAAGAGTTATAACACTCTCTTACTTTTTCCGGCAATTTTGATATAATAGCTTACACATACAATTCATTTCAGTGCAAATGATGCAAAACCTTATTTGTTTCATAATACACTTTGTTCATTGAAAAATCATTTTAACAAAAATCAGTTACAAGCTCGCTATCATTGTGTTTATTCAGTACTATACTGGAGGTTCTATCCAGGGCCCTAGTAGAACAAACACAAATACATTTAGGAGCATTGGAAAGGAAGAAACAAATAAGTCTTTCTTTGCAAATAACATGATTTTCCTGCTAAGGCCTTAGTGCATTTACACTAGGTGGTTCTTAAACCAGACACACTCCTCTCCCAGATAACCACATGTCACCTCAATAAGGCCTCCCCCGATGACACTACAGAAAATTATAGTAGCTCCACACTTCCAAGGTTTTTCAGTTTTCTCTTCCTTTACGAAATAGTTATTAATTTATAAAAGACCTTATAGCTTACAAATCAATCATGCTTATTGCTCATTGTCTGTATTCTCTAGCATCCCTCACCCCAGGAGAGCAGGGATCTCTGTCTCCTCTGCAGACAAATGCTGTGGTCCCAGCAGCAGGGTGCAGGGCCTGCCTATACGCTTCCCAAGAGCCAGCTGTGCTTGTGTCTTCTCAATTCTGCGTTCAGAAAGCCCACATCTGTAGCTTGCAACCTGCCATGGGAGGGACTTCACATCTTAGAACAGGATCAACTCTACAGAGCAGCCCTCACCTCCACCCCCTGAGAGGCAGTTGTTAGACATTGACCAGAAGTCACTCTCCTCCTCATTTAGAACCTGCATCTGCCATGTAGTGGGTATTCGATAAATATTTTTTGAATAAATAAATATGTTTGAATAATTTAGAATGGTTCCAGTGTCCTAGCAATCAGAGCACTGACTAAATATTTTACCCAACTTAAACACATATAATAAGGTACGTAACACTGAGTTAGCTTTTAAAACAGTGTTCAAATAAAATGTGCATTTTATCATAACTAGACATTTTGTATGACAAAGAAATAACTAATTGAATATTTTCTAAGGCATTTGGTGTTCATTTTCCTCTTTTATTTTACATTAGGCCTTTGACAACTATGTAAAAATCAATTTATTTGATGTGTATTGATTTTTGTGAAGTTAATGAGGACACTTCTTGCTAAGGTTTGCATATGGAGCTTTCTAATGGTAGGAATTCCCATGATGCAAACCCTTATTTTTTTTTCACACAAAAAAAATTCTTATAACTATTTGGGTTACACCTAGTAATATATGAGGTCCAACATCATCTGTCAGTCAATACACTTCTGAGATTAAAAATTCAACTAAGAGAAAAATAGCTCAGTTGAATGATGGTAGTCAGTTAATGGGAAGCCAACCAGACATCTTGCAGAGGGGCTTACTTATAAAAGATGGTAAAATATCACTGAAAATAATTAGTAATACATACTGGAATTATTCAGTAATCTGATGCCAGTTCAGGTCTTAGAGAAAGTCTTAAAACATTTGGATCCCTTAACCATTTGATTTAACAACTTTTATTTTTTGATTTTGAACATGTTACAGCAAACCATTATTTGTAATTAAAATCCATCCTCCACTCTCTGAGGAGAGGGAAACCTGGTAGCTTGAACGATGTTTCATTGACCTAAAACATAGTCACTCATCAACCTCAGAATACATGGAGGTAATTGACACGTTATTAAAAAGCAGATGTCCTACTAGCTTGTGGATAGGAAGGTAACAAGTGTAATCAGTGTTCATTAAAAGTAAATTATTAGGAGGCCTAAAGAAAAGCTAGAGAGCAATTTGGAACTAGGAATAAAACAGTAAAGATAGAAAGAGTGAGAGAGTGCTCAAGGAGGAAAGAGAGAGACAATCCAGCATCTAGGAATTTGAGAAAAGATATGAAGAAGAAACATGTCTAGTAGGGTATTTCATGAAGTGCAGTGCTTTGTGAGATAGAAATTCATTTCCTTTTCCTGTAAGTCACTAAAGATTGCGTTGCTCACAAATACACAAGTGGTGGACACCAGACACTGTAACTTCTTTCTGCTTCAGACTCTTTCTTTATCTGAATAATAATAGCACTGACCTCAGAGGGCTTGTATTGTCTGCTTATTTGAAAAATGAGATAATTTTATGGTCAGTGACTGGTAATCAATAAAAGCTCTGAATAAAATATGAAAACATTCACTATTTGGATACAAAACTGAAGGCAAAGGAAACGAATTTTCATAAGCAGAAAATGAGTTTCACTATCTCTACTGAAATATCTTGAATAAGTATTTTCAGTGCCTATTTCAATGTGTATCAGTTATAAATTCAATACATCTCAGTGTTTATGTATTTTCCTATGTGTGAGTTAGTGATTTAGTTCAATCATAAACAATCTGCACTAAAAAAAATAATAATAATCTACACTGCTGGCATTAAATGCATGCATGTTTTATGTCCACATTTATAACTGTGAAGAAAATAAAGATAAATTGTTAAATATAAAATTATATTACATATACGTGTACATATGGCATTCTTATATATTTCTATACCATACTATTCTTCTAGTAATAAAAATGACCTCTCTCATTGAAGGAAATGTGGAAATAAACAAATTCAAAATATCCAATGCCAGGTTGGTATTTATTTATTGATTTTTATTTATTTATTTTATTGATTCATAAATATTCTCAATATGAGAAGATGTCATATGCACAAATATAAACAACTGTTTAATGCAAGTAAATAACATAGTGAAGAAAATAGTCAAAAGGCAATAAAAGCCACATTAGGGAGGGGCTATCAGAAGGGTTTCCCTAAATTCAAAGGGCCAATGTAGGTATAAACCTTCTCATCAGTCTTTAATAGATTGTCCATTTCAGAAGACAATCAAGTCATACTAGAAATCCATAGCAGTGTTTTCCACCATTTCATTCTGGTAAAGAATTCTTCTCTAAGTTGCCAAAATTCAAAGGATATAAGCATACGAATTCTACTGAAGGCAAGTCCAGTTTCTGGGAGAAAAATGTGAATTCCTTGTACAATCATAGAAGAGTGAAATTCTTTTTTTTTTCTCTTTTATCTCTCTTTTTTATGTTTTTGATTATCTTGGCTTTGATGGTGTATCTGTGGTAGCTTTCAATCACTTTGGATTTTTTCGTAGGTACATTTTGCTTGGGTCGTGGTGAAATTTTGGGTAATGGGTATTAAGGAGAAGAGTTAAATTCTAAATCAAGCATTCACACACTCAGTATCACGTTGTTTCTATATTTGCCTATTTACTTCAATCATTTTGCTTTACATATACTTTTTAATCAATGTTTATAAAAATGATTCACCTGTATCTTAAATGATTCTTCTCCTTGGCACTCTATTTACTTAATGAATTCCCCTGGGCCACAAAAAGACACAGATAAAATAAGTCCAGTTCCATTTCTATGGCGTAGGTAGAGAAGAACATTCCATATTTTCTATCTTTCAAAGCAGCGTTTGCAGGAAAATATAGCAGTCCCTGAACCTAAGGAAAATACTACTTACATTTTATAGATGTATAATCAAAGAATTACAAAATACTGATTTTAAATGATTGCATGAATGGAAAGAAAAATGATTTAATAAATAAGTGTTTTGTATTATATGAAAAGAGGCAAATGGAAGAGTACTAGTCAACCCAGGTGTAGCTGAATTTGTACATGGAGTTTGAGTGAGAGATGAAAAGCAAGAATGAGTTGTATTATAATAAAATGTTGTCAGCATTTTGTAGTATCAGGAATGAAGGGCATTGAGAGTCAAAGAGAATTATACTTCCTAAGAACCATGAAAAAGTTAAATCAACACACTTGTTTTGAAAGAACAATAGAAACCAAATATTTTGTTAACTCGATTTACCAGCTCTGAAATTGTGTAAATGTTTAAGCAAATCAGATGATAAAATTTGAGACTAAATCATCAAGAAGAATCAGGAAGTAAGTAAATTTTTTATTCTTCAATATACATATCTTCATTTTACTCAAATGTTTTAAGAAATTGTGTTTGTATATATGTTTAAGGATTTACAACTCTTTCAATACTAAAAATTAAATAATTACTTACTACCAAGAGACTATTAATGAAATCCTAAAGCCGGAACACAGAAATCAATCTTGGATTGTTCATTTTTTTTCTAATTTGAAATTGTGTTCTGTTATAAAACAGAGTTATTTTGAAAATTCCCTATTAGAAAGAATATCTGCTTCCTAGTTAATATTATTTTGACCATCTACTTCTTCATTTTCCATAGCTGTATTGTAAAAAAAAGAAAAGAAAAGGATTACGCATTGTATGAATTAAACTATTTCTAGACAATTATTTAATTTAGTAATAGGTTACCTTCTTGTCCTTCTGCCTTTTTATTAGTAAAGCAAAAATATATATATATATATATGATAAGAGGGTGATAGCATCAACCAAACCTTGAGAAGTAATTTATGAGAGAATGCCAACAAAACATTCCCATGGATAAACATGCACGTTCTACACCAAGATGATTACTGTGCTGACTAACTGTTTAATCTTGTGAAAGTTTC